CCCAGAGTTCCTACATGTTGTGGGAGGGACCCAGGGGGAGGTAACTGAATCATGGGGACTGGTCTTTCCTGTGCTATTCTCGTGACAGTGAATATGTCTCACAAAATCTAATGGGTTTATCCGGGGTTTTCGCTTTTGCTTCTTCCTCATTTTCCTCTTGCCACTACCATGTAAGAAGTGCCTTTCACCTCCTGCCGTGATTCTGAGACCTCCCCAGGCATGTGGAACTGTAAGTTCAATTAAACCTATATTCTTCCCAGTCTTGAGTATGTCTTTATCAGCAGCATGAAAATGGACTAATACACCTAGATATAAGTTACAGTTATCCATATCTAGGGATGAGCAAAAAGCTAGAAATAAAAGTATCTTAATTTTTTGAGCTTATTTTTTTCTTTCCGTTCAGTTACAGTTAACTAGACTAGTTAGTTAGAAATCACCACCACCCAATATCTTCAGCTAGAATGCTACTTCTTGGGGCACATGATGTACGAAATCCAGGTCAGAGAATCAAAGGAAAACCTCTCATCCATAAGCAAAAGAGAAATAAAGAGAAGAAAAAGAAGACCTTAGAGAATTTGCAAAACACTTGGGCAGGAGAAAAAAACGTAGCATTCTATTTACATGCAAAGTGTTTAATGCCTAGTAACCTCCACCCCTAAGCACCGAATTCATTTTTTTCCTAACTACTTTAGTGATCATTTCTCTGGCACTATAATTGTGAATTTTTCTTTGTATTATAAATTTTCTTCTCCCATTTTTGCTAAATTATATGAGCTAATTTAAATTATGAAAGCAAAATTTGACTTTTGCTTTTTGTCCATGTAACACAGTGGTTCTCCACCAGGGACAATTTTGTCCTCCAGGGAACATTTGGCAATATCTGGAGACATTTTTGGTTCTCATAACCTGTGTGAGGGACAACTGCTACTGGCATCTAGTGACTAGAGGCCAGGGATGCTGTTAAACATCCTAAAAGGCACAGCATGTCTCCTCCTTCTCACTAAGCCTCATTCCAAAAGAATCACTGGATCATTATTCAAGGTCATATATCTACCTAGAGAAAGCATAGGATACTTACAGCACACCCTGTGATCCAGATAAACTTGGTGTGGATATAGAGATCTGATGCACAGATCTACCTTCAAGGCATAAACTGCAATCCCAGCTGTTGCAAATACTACCAGCAAACAGCCTCTAGTTGCCAGATGCTTCAAGATTTGCTTCAGCTGCAGAGACCATCCTCACACAAGGCCAACCCCTTCCAGGTGTGGACCACAACCAATGACTGATTGCAGGAAGGACATAAAGGCCTGGCCATTTCAGCCTACCATGGGACAACTCGGATGGGATAAATACACTCCAGAGCTTCCATAGGAGGACTGCCCAGCATTGCAATTCAACTTCTCCCGTTGCACAATCCTGCTTCTCTCTGCAAATTTTGACCCATAATGTACATTCTTCTTCCCAATCTCTGAATCACCATCTGCTGCTGGAGGATCCAACCTGAGACCAGACTCCTTTGGATGGGATGCTTCTGAGAAGAAAAATTGGGGGACCCTAACACTCCACATGGAAAATAACTAGAAGAGGTTTATGGGGCCCACAGAACTGCTGAAGAAAGGTGCTGAGGGAAAATCAGTAGGTGTAGGCTCCATGTCAAAGCATGGAGGACTGAGCTATAGTAGCAGGTTAGAAATGCCCCTGAGACTGCATAGTATTCCATGGTGTTTGTGTCCTTTGTAGGGACATGGATGCAGCTGGAAACCATCATTCTCAGCAAACTATCACAAGAACAGAAAACCAAACACCGCATGTTCTCACTCATAGGTGGGAACTGAACAATGAGATCACTTGGACTCAGGAAGGGGAACATCACACACCGGGGCCTATCATGGGGTGGGGGAGGGGGGAGGGAATTGCATTGGGAGTTATACCTGATGTAAATGACGAGTTGATGGGTGCAGCACACCAACATGGCACAAGTATACATATGTAACAAACCTGCACGTTATGCACATGTACCCTACAACTTAAAGTATAATAATAATAAAAAATAAATTTAAAAAAAAAAAAAAGAAATGCCCCTGAGACATTGACCATGGCTTATTCAAATTAAAGAAAGCTATATGTTTTTTAAAACTCAAAAAACCTGCTGAATGATGGCAAAAACAAACAAACAAAACCCTTCCTCTGAAGTTACATTGGGATATTTAAAAACTAAACCCAAAAATGTGCATTATTGTGTCAGTGAAAAAGGACAGGGATTGACATCTCCAAAAGCGCTGCGATTCCAGCACCCTGAGGCTCCCAGGCTGTTCCACACCCCTCAGCCACTAGACTGAGTCATTCTCTGACCACAGATACGTATCTTCATAAGAGGATACAACTGGAAGGTTCTGCTTTGACCGGTTGTGGGCTCAGAAACCCTGGCAGTAACTCAAGCCAACTAGGATCACACCTGGGAACACACCCCACAGCCATGAACCCACAGAACATGAAGCATGGCTATTTTTAGCACTGAGTTGTCCCAACATTGCTGAACCATGAAACCTTGAATTTTGCAAGAGATTTTCATCTGTGAGAAAGAAAAACTTGACTATATTTTTTTATAGGAGAGGGTGGGCCATAGAAACTATTAACAAGTTATTTGAATCTGAATGAAGAGTTTGCACATGCTGGTGTGCAAAGAACTGTATTTTATGGGTCATTATAACTTATGTACTTATGGAAATTCATTTTTTAAACACTGTATTTTTCTCTATTTTTGGTTTCACATGTAGCATTTATTCCTGACAAGTGATTCCAGCTTTTACAATGCAAAACCACTTCTGCAAATTCTATCTTAAATGAATCTTCAAAAAAATAAGCATAAGCTTTTGCATTTGTCAGTTAGGAAATATTTAATGTCAGTGAGATACTCAATAAATGAGCAGGTAAAATTGAGAAGAAATACACACGAATGTTTATCAAGCAGTGTCAAACAAGCAAAGCAGGGAAAAGTAGAAAAGAGCTATTCCTTATACCCAACTTCAAAGAAAATCCAGTCAATAAACATCAATCCAGAATCCAAATGTTCAAATGTCCTAGGCAATCTATAGTCAGCACAGTCATGATTACACCATAAACCTAGCATTGTGGAGCTCAAGATCCAATTTGGATCATTTTTTTGCACATGCTTCACCTTAGAGTTTCAGAGACACTCAAAGGCAGCCTGCTGAGATCTGTGCTTCCCCAGGCCAAGGCAATGAGAGTGAGAGCCCAGTTAGAAAGAAGAGATGCCTAAAGAAGATGGATTGCCATCACAGGACCTAGATCCCACTAGAAAAGGAACAAACAGAAGAACAAAGAAAGAAACAAAGAAACCTTCTGCTGGGGACAGAGGGAAACAGGCAGCCATCCTAGAAAGGCTCTGTAAGACAGCAGAGAGGAAGGTCTCACTGACAGACTGAGACCACCAAGTGCAAGAGCTTCTGAAACGAGAAAGCCAGTCAGAAATTTCCTAGCACAGAGTCAGAAATTCATAGTTCTGTCTCATGAAATTAGGTCCCTGCTATATAGAGTCATGCACTGCATAACAACGATATGGTCAGTGTGGGTTAGATACATGACAGTGATCCCATAAGATTATAATGGAGCTGAAAAATTCCTATCACCTATTATCTGTCATAATGTCTGTTGCAGCACAACGCAGTATTCATCTGTTTGTAGTGATGCTGGTGTGAACAAACTTACCATCCTGCCGGTTATACAGAAGCCTAACACATACAATTATGTACAGTACATACCATTTGATTATGATAAAGGACTATGCTATTGGTTTATGTATTTACTATATTATACTTTTAATCGTTAGAGTGTATTCCTTTATTTATAAAGACAAAGTTAGCTGTAAAACAGCCCCAGTAGGTCCTTCAGGACATGTTCCAGAAGAAGGCATTGTTATCACAGAAGATGGCAGTTCCATGCTGTCATTGCTCTTGAAGACCTTCCAGTGGGACAAGATGTGGAGGTGGAAGACAGTGATATTGATGACTCTGACCTTGTGTAGGCCTAGTGTATGTGTTTGCGTGTTTGTTTTTTAACAAAAAAGTTTAAAGAAATTTAACAGAAAAAAAAAGTTTACAGAATAAGGATATAAAGAAAGAAAATATTTTATACAGTCATACAATGTGTTTGTGTTTTAAGCTAAGTAGTATTATAAATGAGTCGATATTTTTAAAAAGTTTTAAAGTTTGTAAAGTAAAAAAGTTAAGGTAAGATAAAGGTAGCTTATTTTTGAAGAAAGAAAATTTTTATATAAATGTATAGTCTAAGTGTACAGTGTTTGTACAGTGTTTGTAACATCTGCAATACTGTACAGCAATGTCGCATTCACTCACCACTCACCCACTGCCTCACCCAGAGCAACCTCCACTCCTGCAAGCTCCATTCATGGTAAATACCCTATATAGGTGTACCATTTTTATCTTTTTTATTGTATTTTTACAGTACTTTTTCTATGTTTAGATATACAAATACTTACCATTGTGTTACAGCTGCCTACAGTATTCAGTACAGTAACATGCTGTATAGGTTGCAGCTTAGAAGCAATAGGCTCTACCACACAGCTTAGGTATGTGGTAGGCTATACCTTCTAGGTTTGTGTGAGTATACTCTGTGCTGTTTGCACAATGATGCATTTTTCAGAATGTATCCCTTTTATTAAGTGGCACATGACTGTATATACAGATATATGTGTGGATGTATACATGTATATCTACCTCTTCCTATATATGTATATTTATATGTATATATGTATATTTATGTGAATATATGTATATATGTGTGTAGACACACACTCATATATATACTTACATACATAAGCACATACATATTTACACAAACATACATGCATACAGAAATACAGACATTGAAATGTTTGTTTCTTGTTTTTTTGCAGCTATAACATAATAGCACAGATTGGGTAATTTATAAAGAACAGAGAAGTGTATTTGGCTCACAGTTCTGGAGACTGAAGTCCAAAATCAAGGGGCCTCATCTTGTGAGGGTGAAGGTCTCCACATGGAGAGAGAGGATGAGAGCACTGCAGAGAGAGAGAGAAAAGGGGTAGAACTCATCCTTTTGATCAGGAACTCACTCTTGAAACAATGGCATTAATCCGTTCATGAGAGCAGAGCCCTTATAACCTAATCACCTCTGAAAAGTTCCACCTCCCAACACTGTTACAATGGCAGTTAAATTTCAATGTGAGTTTTAGAGGGGACATTCAAACCATAGCACCTTGGAACTCAGCTTCATACAAGAGCTCTTTCAGAAATAAGCCTGCAAGTCATAGACTTATCAACAACTGTCCCTCTAATCATATTCTCAACAAAGAACAATTTGGTTAAGGGTTACAGACTCTGCCTTGTGGCCTTAATTATGTTTGCTACCTGAAATCTTGCTCGTTTTCCAAGATATCTAAGCATGCTTGGTATTCTTTGAGTAAACGACAAAACAAGCAGAGACTGGCCTATCATTATGTATTTTTACTTTTCTATATTCTGTTCTTGGTGGTAAAAGCAGAAAAAGATTTAGGAGATGCCATGTTAACATTTGCATTAATTCACACTTTCTTTGGAAGTTTAATCCTATCAGTCAGGAAATGCAAAATTTAAGGTTCTTCCATTTATGCAAATTTGCATGCTTTTAATTGGCTGCATTTTTAACCACTAGGGAGCAACTATTATTTTATTGTCCCATTTTTACACAATAGCAACTTAAGTTTCATTTGTAGCACTTAATTGTCAAGTCACTCATCGATTTAGAGCTCAAACTAACTACATTTCCATTGCTCAACGCAGGATACTGTTTAAAAGAATACACATTTTGCACATCCAAAATGACAGGCATGCACAATGATTTTACAATTCACATTGCTAAATGAAGTCATAGAGCAATAAGCAGACTGGTAAGCCAAAAACCTAAAGCTTTTATAAATGCATGAATGTAGTCTCCTATTTATCCATATCCCTGGCTTCTCCATCTCCCACCATCTCCTTCTCCTTTGGGCATCTCAATGATCATTATCACCTCAACCAGAGAATAAGCAAGTGAAAAAGAAAAGCATGAAATTCAAATCAGCTTGTTGCTTTTTATTAGACTCTTCAAAAGGTTTGTGGGAGAAAAAGCCAAAATTAATGGCTAAAATGAGGTTTGGAGAATATGTTAGATTTCATTTATTGATGCTCTTCTGCACTTGCCCACCCCATTAACACTAATAATTGAAAGTTCGTTTCATTTATCACAGCACACTAAGCAAATGCTATTGTTTTAAGTCAAAACCACAAAAAGAAAGTAAGATTTTAAATTGCTGCAGGAGGGACTATTATAGAAGTAAACTAAATGACTTCAAGGAAGACAAAAGAACTAGTTACCAAAAGAAGTTATGGAATCGTCCTCTCTGAAGATTTTTAGAAATCCAGTAAACAATTCCTTCAATGGGGATATGCTTGGACACAGAGAAATCAACCTGCAATTTCTTAAGGTCCTATGCTTTATAGTTTTACATTAATTTACTTTTTAAATGGGCGATCTGTGAATTAGTTTAAAAACAAGGGAAAATTTGGTATGGCTTAATTAATGATACACAACCCAGAAGCCCCAGTCCTTCTCAAATTGTGATTAAAAAATTTAGTTGCATTGCTATTAAAATTCAATGTATAATGACCCAAATCTCCACATTTCTAGATTAATAATAGTGTCCCCGTCCCCATACACGTGCACAAATTACTCAAGATTCCAGGTTTTTAAATTCTGGTTTGTGAGTCAGACATCCTGTGTAGATCTCCACAACTTTGCCTTCCAAAGAAGTTGACCTGCTGATCATGGCTCCCGTGAGTTACTTCAACAGTAACTACTGAAACCTGAATATTCTACAGAAATAACCCTGACCACAGAGCCATGCTCGCTGTTTGCACAGCTACCAAGGAAGTGTTCTTTTGATGAACCTAGAGTTTAGCAGTTTCTTGAGATATAAAGAGAAACACCCCTCACCCCCAACGACAAACTAAATAAAAAAAGAATTGTTTGGGCCCCAAGCATTAATTGGTTTTGTAGCTCTTATTTGGCTCATTGAATCTATACTCACTGTATTTTTACACAGAGAATTGTTATTCTTGCCCCAGGAAAACTATGCCGCAGGTCAAGTTGCATAAGAAAGCTTGGGCTATGCATATTGAGTCGGGAATATTTAGCTTCAGTCCTCATCTGCTTCTCTCCAGGTACCACATGCAGTTTGACCACATGGTAAACCATAATCTTGAATAGGAAGCTCTGCATTTCCTAAGGGAAATCACAGTGGCTCAACTCAATATTCCTCACCAAACAAACATTTATTAGATACCTATTGCTAGCACACATTGCATGTGAACATAGGAAGGTACCTGCCGTGCCTTGCTAGAGGAAACAGAAGACACTGTGTAAATACCTCAGAGACACCTGATCCAGTCTTGGGGGATCAAGAAGGTTTCCTGGAGGAAGTAACATCAAAATTGTGACCTGCAAGAAGATCAGGAGGCTATCAGGTAGAAAAAGGTAATGAGTATATTTCAGGAAAAGAAAATAATTTTACAAAGGACTACACATGCAGGAGGACATGTGCTCATGAAACTTCACATGATTCAGCACAGCTGGGGCAAAATAGCAGTGAGACACCACTAGAGCTAGTCGTAAAGAATCTTGAATGCCATGCCAAAGAACTGGAGCTCTATCTTAAGGGCTACAGAGAGTCATTAATTACTTTTAAACACAGGAGTGATAGGATCAAGTTTGTGCTTTAGAAAGATAATTCTGAAAATTTGTTGTAGAAGACTGAGGTTGGAGCCCCTTGGTAGAAGTACAGCATACTGTCAGATTATTAAAAATAGTACAATTCCCTGAGGGAGGTAGAATTGGAGCTGGGCCCTGGAATTGGAGAAAGGCTATGTAAGACTATCGGAACAGCATGGATAAGGTTAAGGAGGCAGAAAAATTCAAGGACAAAATGTGTAATGAGCAGAAAGTAGATGACTGGGCCAAAGTGTGGGCCTTGAGAAAGAATTTGGTATGCAGTGATGCTACAAGAGTAACTGGAAACAAAATCAGAGATCCCAAATTGCCCACTGACTAATTTCATTCTGATAGCAATGCAGAGTTTTTGAAGTGTCTTGACATGACCCAGTTTTAGAAAGATGATTTAAGGAGTGAAGAAATGTTATTTTGCGCATCTAAACTGAGATGTGAGCTTTTCAGTGGCAGAGATCATCTCATTCCTATTTGAATTTTCAGGACCTCACACTGCATGTATTCAGTAGGTGCTCAATAAATGCTTATTCTTTAACTAGAAGATGGTTGGATGGATGGGTGAGTGGATGTATGAATGGATAGAAGGATGAATAAACAGATGAATCATTGAACCCCTAGGATAAGTGAGCTCTGAGTGAAATAATTTATCTGAGCAAACAAAAACCTAGGAATCCTGTAAAATAGGCGATGGAACCCACACCATGCCCTGCAGAAGCTAACAGAGAAAAAAAGTCTTCTTTATCCCCTCTAATGAGGTCTGCATCTTGGTTCTTGAGAACTCTTTTAAGTGTGTCTCCCAAAAATATGCTGTGTGAACTATCCATTGAGATGTTGTTTCCTTCAAGACTGTCTTCAAAATCTTGAACTTTAATAGCTATGAGTTCCCATCTTCTCTGACAAATAAGACAAAAGGCTTTCCTTCCTAAGATCATATACTAAACTTTGGGTACAGAAATGAAAAAACATTACATTTTATAGGGCAACCATTTATTCTTTTCCCCAGAAATAAACATCCCTTCTCACACCTAAAATAAAACTCTTAGAACTGACTCCTTAATTAGAAAGAATAAGTTGTTTCCTTGATTAATTGCACATTGCAGAAAAAAAGACTATGTAGGAGGTAATAATTTATGGTAGCAATTTGAGGTGGTTTTGTCTTAAACTTTCCATGGTTTCATACTGTAGATTTTGGAAAACATAGTACTTTGTCAAAAACGGAAGGGGGTGGAGGAAGTAAAATAAATATTTAAGCCCAAAGAGATCATTCCAACAAATGTTCATTCTTAGATCATCTGTTCTTCATTTCATGATATATGTTATAAACAACAGCCTCACTCCAGCTTTTGCATTGCTGAATACTGTAAAATTCAACAAATATGTTAGTGAACATATATAATGTATTGTTGTAGTTTGCATTCACAGATAATGCTACTAATGGAGTTGTTTGCCATGTATATGGGTAAGGTTAAAAATCTGAGAGAGTTAAACAGTTTTTCCACATGGGCAGATGCATGGGAGGACTGTCTTATTTTTGTAATTCCAGAGACCATTTTAGAACAAGTCATTTCTTATGACTCTCTTTGCTCAATGGGTTATCAATGTCTTTGCTCTAAAAGAGCTACATGAATTTACTCATTGCCAAGTGGGTCTTTTGGCTGCTGCTATACCAGAATATCTTAACAATATAGCAAGGCTGTAAATTGTATTTCAGGATGATAAGTTAACATTTCTTCTTCTGGAAACTGCAGTCATCTCCTGTTTCCTGTGTGTTTTTCCACAAAGCTGTTAGTTTTTCTATCTTTTGGAAGGCAAGAACATGGCATTAGGCAGGGTTAGCAAATACTGGTCCATAGTTAAGTTTTACAATTTACAGAAAGTTAAACAAGTAAACCAGAAATACAAACACACAATATTGTAAGTTTATCTAAAAGCCAAATTTATTCCATTTAAGTGACTGAACTTCTTTTCAATGTGTTAAGATCATAACATCTACCCTCTTAACAATTTTTAAGTGTGTAATATAGTCTTGTTAACTATAGGCACAATTTTGTACAGGACACTTATTCATTCTCCATGGCTAAAACTTAAAGCATGCTGAATTGCTACTCCCCATTTCTCTCGATCCCCATTCTCTGACAACCACCATTCTACTCTCTGCTTCTATGCATTCAAATTTTTTAGATTCCACATCTAAAGTGAGATCATGCAGTATCTGTCTTTGTGTGCCTGGCTTATTTCATTTAGCATAATGTCCTCCAGGTCCCTTCATGCTGCCACAAATGACAGGACTTCCTTTTTGTACGTTTGAATAATATTCTATTGTATGTATGTATCACATTTTCTTTATCAATGGACACTTAGGTTGTATGTACATCTTGGCTATTGTAAATAATACTGCAATGAACATAGGAGAATAAATATATCTTCAAGATCTTGTTTTCAGTTCCTTTGATAAATAACTAGAAATGGGATTGCTGAAACATATTTTTATTTTTAATTTTTTGAGGAGCCTCATACTGTTTTCCATAGCAGTGGCAACACTTTACACTGCAACCAACAATGTACAAGAGTTCTAATTTCTCCACATCCTCACCAACACTTTTTTTTATATTATAAAAAATAATATGATTATTTTTAATATAATTGGGATAATTTTACTTCTTCATCCAATTTTTTTAATAATATAAAACACTTGTTTTACATTAGCTATTCTAAAAGATGTGAAGTGATATTTTGTTTTGGTTATGATTTGCATTTCCTTGATAACTAATGATGTTGAGCATCTTTTCATACACCTATTTGCCATTTGTCTGTCTTCTTTGAAGAAACATCTATTCAATTCTTTTGCTCATTTTGTAATTGGGTTATTTGTTTTCTTGCTATTACCTTAAAGGAATTCCTTATATATTTTAGATATTAACCCCTTATCAGATATATGCTTTGCCCTTATTTTCTCCCATTCTATGGGTTGCCTTTTCACTCTGTTGATAGTTTTCTTTGCTGTGCAGAAGCATTTTAGTTTGATATACTCATATTTGTTCATTTTTGTTTTTTGTTGCCAATGCTTTTGGTGTCATATGCAATAAATCATTTCCAAGAATAATGTCCTAAAGCTTTTCTCCTATTTTTTCTTCTATGGGCTTTACAGTTTGAAGTCTTATATTTACGTATTTATACACTTGTAGGTGATTTTTGTGAATGATGTAGGATAAGAGTCCAATTTCATTTATATGCATGTGAATATCCAGTTTACCTAAGACCATTTGTTAAAGAGACTCTCCTTTACCCATTGTGTATTCTCGGTAAATTTGTCTAAGATCAGTTGACTGTAACTCAAAGGATTATTTCTAGGCTTTCTATTTTGTTCCATTGTCAATATGTTTGTTTTTACACCAGCAACTACAATTAACTACTCTAGTTTTGTATTGTATTTTGAAATAAAGGAGTGTGATGCTCTAAGTTTTTTTTCTTTTTCTCAAGAATGTTTAGTTCTTTGGGGTCCTTCATGGTTCCATGGAAGTTTTAGAATTGTTTTTCTGCTGCTGTGAAAAAAAAAATGACATTGGGATTTTGATAGGGAATGCAGTGAATCTATAGATCACTCTCAGTAGTAGGAACATTTTAACAACATTAAGTCTTCCAATCCATGAACACAGTGTATCTTTCCATTTATTTGTATCTTCTTTCTTTCCTCAGTGTTTTATAGTTTTCAGTGTACAAATCTTTCACATACTTAGTTAAGTTTATTCCTAAATATTTTGTTATTTTCAATGCTATTGTAAATTAGATTCTTCCCCCTTTTCTTTTTGAGGAGTTTGTTGTTAATGTATATAAACACAGCTGATTTTTGTATGATGATTTTGTACCCTGCAATGTTACTGAATTGGTTTATTCATTCTAATAGTTTGTGTGTGTGTGTGTGTGTGTGAAGTCTTTAGGGCTTTCTACATATAAGATTATGTCATACACAAATTGGGATAATTTTACTTCTTCTTCATCCAATTTGGATATCTATTTCTTTTTCTTGCCTAATTGCTCCAGCTAGGACTTCCAGTACTGTTATGGTTTCAATATGATTTGTCCCCACCAAAATTCATGTTGAGGCTTGCTTCCCAATGTGGTGTTGTTGGGAGTTGGTAATTTTAAGAGGTTCTTAGATTATTAAGAAAAATTAATGCCTTTCTTGCAGGAATGAGTTCTCACTCTCACAGGAAAGGATTCGTTACCATGAGATAGGGTTATTATAAAGCAAGGACGCCTCTCATGTTTGGTCTCTTTGCACGAGCACACATCTTCCTCCACTTTCCACCATGAGTTGATGAAGTATAAGTTACCTCACCAGATGCAGCTGCCTGATCTTGAACTTCCCAGCTTCCTGAACCATGAGCCAACTAAAATTTTTATAATAAATTACACAGTCTCAGGTATTCTGTTACAGCATTAGAAAACAGACTAAGACAAGTACTATGTTGAATAGAAGTGGTGAGAGTGGATTCGTGTCTGTTCCTGATATTAGAGGAAAAGTTTTCAGTTTGTTACCACTGAGTATGATGTTAGCTGTGGAGTTCTTACATATGGCCTTTATTATGTTGAAGTAATTTCTTTCTATTCCTAGTTGAATAACAGTTTTTATAATAAAAATGTGTTTAATTTTGTCAAATACTTTTTCTGCACCTGTTGAGATGATCATGTGATTTTTATTCTTCATTCTGTTA